CTAAACTGGAAAGTCCTTTATTCACATCAATAAATTGCTTCCCAACCCCATATTACGAAATTCGTTCAACAGCCGATTGTGAAGAACTTTGTCAAAGGCTTTGCTGAAGTCAATGTGGGCCACATCTGCAGGTAACTTTTGGTCTTAAAGAGCTCACCAGCTTTCACGAGTCGCAAACAAGTTAGTGAGACAGGATAACCTACTCTAAAGCTATGCTACTTTTCCAAAAGGACCCATATTTCACCGAGATACGTAAACAATTCCTTCAGAATAATCTTTTCTAAAATTTTAAAGGCCACGCTAGTTCTACTTACGGGTCGATAGTCCTTAGGTTTATCTTTCGTGCCTGTTCTGAAGACAGGACGTACTATGGCATTCTTCCAGTCTTTGTGGCAATCGACCCTGGGTTACAGGTAGATCAAAACATATGTTTAGGGGATTTGCTACGAAATTTGCCAGTTCTTTTAGTAAACTGGGATGCATCTGATCGGGTCCCAGGGATTCTCCTAGCAGATCAGAGCCATAGATTTCTTTGATGGTATCCAAATTCAGTAAGTGTGTGGTGGGGCTTCGATAAACTGAAGAGGGGAGCATATTTACGATACATAAATTACTAAAGTAATTTGGAAATGTCCGAGTTTTACCATGATCCTCCATCACTAATGATTCAGTACTACTATTTTCCCATAATTCTGGGATATTTCCTCTTCTCTTAGTACTTTACGAGCGTAAGCGTCTAGGGTATTCTACAAATTCCTTAAGGAGTTCTTCGTAAAACCCTCTAGACTTGAGAAGGGTAAAGGCACAAATATTTTGAGCTTCCCGATATTGAGTTTTGTTTCGTCAGTACCCAATGACCTAAAGCTCTCCAACATTCTTCACGTCTTATGGAGAGGGGTGTAAACCTGTTTATTGAACCACGATAAGGAGTTTCTCAAACCCCTTGATGTAGTTTAAATGATGTACGGTATGGTGACTTTCAAGCACAAATTTCTGAATACATTCCTAGCCGTTTCAATCAGGGGCTCTCGTTCCATCATCCAATTTACTGAGAATACTGAGTGTATAACAACTTGTATATGTGCTTTCCTGACGTTGGATTTGGGTTGAGCTGACACATGCTCGATCGTGACAACCATATAGAAATGAAAATTCAGAACTGCATGATCACTTTGACCTAAGGTTTGTGACCTCATCCTAACAATCTGTCAATGTGAGATCTAGTGAGGATGATTCAGAGTCTGGCTCGTACTTAATTGCTTCTTTCACATTGCAAAGGTAAGGAAGCACTGAAAATCCCTCCACAGCATTTAATCGAACAGCATTATTATTTAATTGTTTCTTCTCCCTGTTGTGTATTTTAACCTTTATTCAGACCCCTTTTAACCACACTTTATGTTCTTCAGTCTTCCTCGCCTGAGCTTTTATCACGTGACTTTGTTGCTTCACCGCTTAATTTCTCCGTTGCATGTTGCCGGACTATTGACTACTAAGGTAAAGGTCATGTTGTGGTTCAGTGTGTGACAGTTAAAATTTAAGCTACTACTTGGAAGGATTGCCGGAATTCCTGCAGATTTATGTTTGATCTCATCTTCTTGATTCTTAGGTATTGAACTCTTGTGTATAAACTGTTCTTTTTGTTGTTCGGAACGCTAATCTGTGTTAGAGAATCTGTTAACTGTACAGCACAGGCTATACCGTTTGAGGCACTTCGTATTTTTGATAGATTTCGTTCTCATTGTTAAATTAGAACGGTTTAAATTGAACACAGAGTTTGTGTTTTCATATGATTTAATACGAGTAACTCAAAAATGCTATACAAAAGAATGTAGTCTGATCTGGTCGGATAAATTTTGATTCGTTAGTTCTGCACTCAAACCGAATATTTGTACTTCGGTTGTTCAAACATGTTACATGATCACTGCATCAACTGGTCCCTTTTGGATGGGGTTTTCTGACAATTCAGTCCTGGGATTTTCTCAGTATGTCGTTGGTGCATTATGATCTACCGAAATTAAACATCGATAGCTTCGTGACCAAGTATTGAGACTGTCTAGCAATATATCGTTTACCTTACACTATGGACTGCGGCAGACCAAACCAATCAGCAGGTCTTTTCGTTTTCATTCCATGCGGGATATGTTATCAATAATGGTATATGGGATAGTATTCATAATGAATAAAGCTACTTCCCCCCTTTACGCCTCTGAATCCCATCGGCCTTAATAATGTGAAACTTTAAAAATCAAGTACCGTCCTCTCTGTAGATTGCGTCAACCAGGTTTCTTTGGCTGCGATTACATTCGGCCTGGTAAAGTTTATCTGTGCACCTTGCTCCGATCGCTTGCTGGGCAAGCTCCGAGCACTTGTGTAACAAATTCAAAGACCATTTGTACAGCTTTGCGCTGCACCCAGAGTGGCCTCGTCATCAATTTCTGTCGAAGCCTCATTATTCGAAAGTTTACAATTTTTAGGTCATACTCACCAGCACCTAACCGAAGTTTGGATTCGTTTTCAGCTTCTCGTCTTCGTATACAGTACGCGAGCGGCAAGTCTTTACGGATTAAAATTATTGACTACTTTAGTCTGTGTCCATCCTGTAATATTAAGTCCTTCTTATTTGGAAACTTTAACACGGCTTTTAGTAGTTCAATTTGATCCTGTTTCAGGTTCATTTGGCTACCTTGTCTGTAAACCTTTAGCAAGGTGACTCCAGAGATACCATAATGCATTAGCTGGTTTAGGAGATATTTTATGAGCTCACTGTCATGCCGAAAATGAGCCTTGAGTTTTGAGCTTACACTCTCCTTTACTCCGTGAAAGACATCTGACCTGTCGCTATGACCAATCTTCAATACCTCAACCACTGTTTGGGGGACTAGCTTTTCTTTAGCAACACTAGATCACCTTGTATTCCTGATGTGTACCCGTTCATCAACTTCCGTCGGAGTAGTGATCACAGTCGTGGTACATACATTGAGGGACCCTGGATAATTGTTCTGCTAGTAACAGATCCAGCATTACTACTGTGTTTTCTAGAGTGTAGGACAGAAGAAACGTCCTTTCTTGATCTTCTATTTTTAACGGATCCCTTTACAGGCTATGCTGCCTCTGTCGGCTCATGTAAGTCAATCGACTCTGAGCTTCAATTTGTGTATTGATCGAACGAGAAATGTTTGATGTATTTCTATTACACTTGCTGATAAACCTTTTAGCGGTATTATCATTAAAATAGCTTCGGACAGTAAGCTGTTTACGTCCGAGCAGCACTGCCGAAACAACCACACAACTGTTCTTGCTAAACTGTTTAAATTTCAATCGATTTGTGATATAGATTGTCTCCCAACGCTCACCACTCAGACTCATGTTTCCAATTTATGCTGGATTGGCTATTCTACTAAGACAACCTATAACATGCCAAATCGGACTTTCACACCAGGATTGTGTGGCTGGCATGCACACTCCCTTTTAATAAACCGCTTTTTTTGTACCACACATGACTTACCTTTATTCATGTGAGCTTACTCCAACTTGTTAAATATCACAACTCATTAATACTACGTTCTCTAATATGGAGCCTCTGACTTCATTTCGCTCTAACAAGAGATAATATGAATTTAATCTAACTTATTATACCTCTGTCTGTTCTAATACACAATATTAAGCAACGTTTGGCGTTCATATCCAAGTGCCACTGTTGCTCTTCTGTTTCTCTTTTTTTCTTTAGTCTTGCTCTGAGGGCACAGCTTTGGAACTTCTGAAGTCTGGAGTAAACTTGACGCAAGCGTCTCTTCAAGGTCATGGTTTACAGCAAGCGCTCCACGAGTCTACTTTATAACAACTATAAACTTAATAGGTCGGGAAGCATGCTGTGAACCAGCAAATGTTGTAAATTATAGATCATGCCTTTAGAAATGGCGTGTACCCGCTCATGCAGAAATATATTATTATTATTATGAAGGTATCGCCAGAAACAGAGTTATGAAACGGTCGGTAGGTTGATCAATTCATTTCCGGTAGAAGCGTTCGGAGGCATAGGAAAAAAATGCGGTCGATATGTGCATAAAAGATCAAAAGGTGAATTATAAGTTTTTAAATCATCAGGCTGCCTTGTGTTTTTGAAACAAAGCCACTCCCATTAGGGATTGTGACATATTGTGCAATATGAAGATGCCACAGGTATTCGGAGTTTGACAACACCTCTAAACGTAAGACATTTACAGTTTAAGAATAACAGCTTAGTCAAATCAAAAGTTAGGAATGAAGAGGTCCGAAGATATGTTTGAAAGGCTATCGATATATTGAGAATTGTTTGATCTAATCTGACTAACAGTTACAAGGGATGCGTAGCACGGATGTGTGACCGAGCGCCCTCAGCTAGGTGTGTTCAGTAAAACTAATGAGGTCGGCACCAATGTCAAAGAATTGCGTGACTTCGTTTTGAGGGGTTTGTTTACTGTTAAGAGCCTTCTCAAGAAGAATGTGCAAACCGTCCTCAAACACTGACTTTCACTGCAATATTCGAAAAGTCTGGTAGTCAACCTCTGAATAAGTTAAAGATGCATTAACGATTTCATGGGCATCTGTGACCACTTATCCGATTTCCACATAGGCAGCTGGGTGACAAGCCGTTATTTTTAAGTTAAGTGGTGGTGTGAGTATCTTGGTTGTTAAACAAATTTTGTACGTTCCGACTTTTCACTGTACTTTTTACACCACTGACATTGAAGACATGAAATATCTGCAAAACTATCGAAACCGCTTACAGATTCAACAAACATCTGATAATTTCTTCGCAAACATGTTTGGGAGAAACCATTGTGTACAAGAAGGATTTCTGAGCACTTGTGAATAGATTTAATAGAACTTTTAACTCCACAAAGTCTAACGAAGAGCATTGGAAATAGTAGGTTAAGGGTTAAAATCTTTCTGCTTGTCATGTGTTTTAACTAATGACTAGACACCAGTGACATAGCAACACACTCAATCCTATAACTGAAATGGTCAAGAAGAGCAATAAAAAAACACCGAAGAAGAAGAATATAAAGAGCAGGTTTTTTAAAAGCTTTATCAATTACATTTATCAAGCAATGATGATAAGATTAAAAAGTTAGAAGATGTGAGAAGGATAGCTGCTATTAATGCCAAGTTATGGGAGACTAGAGTGGAAATTGCGGAAAAAGTCAAAGACAAGATTCAGTAGGTTGTTTATTTCAAATAACAAATTAGGGAACGTGCAAAACAGTTAGCGGATGATAATGCCAGGCTTAATGATGCTCTACGTCAATCAGAAAAGGAATCAATGGATGTGTTTTCTTACTTAAAAAAACAAAATGAAGATAAAGACAGTGAGGTATCGTATTGTTTATTGGAGTTTTAATGTGCAGCTAAAGAACTTAAAAACAAAATCGAATCCATGTCCATTTCTCATGAAAGAGATAAAGAGTTAATTGTAAATTGATTACATATTCTGAATGCTTCCTCCTAACACTTTCAGATCAGGGATGCAAAGGAACAGATTTTGTGCATAAATAGTGAAAAAGAGAAGAAGTGCGATAAAATTAAGGAACTCGAACAGGAAATAATGCAGTTGGATGAATATAGAAGTGAGAAAACACGAACTGAAAACGAAATAAAACAGGTATAATTATGATAATTATAATAATAAGGTGAATGGATACATTGATTTACTTTAGTTGCGCGATGAAGTTCAAAATCAAAAGTGTCTCATTGAAAATATGGAGACAAAGTTCTTCGAAGAGAAGGTAAGTGGGATTAAGATTGTCCCATACTTTTAGCTAAAAATGAGGGAAAGTAGCATAAAAGATATCAAAGCTCTGGCAGAAGAAGCCCATAAAATTTCTATTAAGTTGCTTTCATAATAACAATAACCAAATCATTAATAAGAAATTTAGACGATTCCATCAAGTTATCATTTGTTCAGAACATCGCAATGAGGAGATTTATAACGTTTTTAAGAAAACAGCTGGTGTCAGCTGAGGACTTATCAAGATCTTTGAACGAAGAAAACAAAAAGCTTACTATAGAGAAGGAAACCTTGGAAGGCATTTTGTTGTCAAAGTCCTTGGAGTGCAAAAAACTGAAGGAACTTATTCAAGAGGTGGGCATTTCTATTCCGAATTGATAAGTGTTTGAAATATATACTTTTATAGATCTGTGCCATTAATAAGTTCATCCCTCGTGTACAGACCGTTTGTCCAACAAGTCATAGTTCTAAAACACTTGTACCAATGCTCTAAAATAATTATAGGTATGACTCCTTTTCCGTTTGGTTTGAGTGTACAAAACTAAGCGAGATATATTTACTTTGGAGATTACAAGTCGCTGTTCTGCTCTCCTATTAGGAATTCTAGTTGGAGTTAAAAGGTGAATTAAAAGCTGATATTAATTCGATATTACTATTTTCGGTAAAGGCCAATTCACAAAGTTGTATTGATTTAGATAAATACTATCTAATTTTACATATGTGTAAAACTTAAACTACTTAAACCGAATTGATTTCGCTTGGATAACTATATTTTAGTTGATTATTCAAGTGCGGATGTTTGTATGTTTCCGCAAAGTAAGGATTAAAAGTGATATTCAGGTCAATTATATGTAAAATTTATTTGACCGTTCTGACAGTTATCTCTGGTAAATAAAAACTGGTGTATTTTTAACCTTACATAATTACGTGAAAGGAACAATAAATGTTTTCATGAATTAATTGATTTTAACAGTTATTAAACCTAATAATGTTTTAAAAAGTCACACTTGTCTGTTTAACTAGCCCTGGGTACTGTATAATGTAAAGGATCCATGGTCGATTCCTTTCCAGTATGCCATTTCAACTAGCCAATATCTGCTAGAAAATGTAAATGTAAATTAGGATAAATCTAACACTGCGAGTTTATCACAGCTCACAATCAAATATAACACAATCTGTTACTGGTAGTCACTCTTTACCTTTACAATAAATATAAATGGGGATACAAAAAAGGGTTAGAGTGATTATTGGCATGTAGTAAGTATTTAATTTACAACAATGTGTAGTATTTTGGGACAATGCTTTCCATCTTCTTGAGGATACAAAGCGTGAAATGAATGCAACTTCATTCCTGAGAGATTTAATATGCAACCATCATTATTTATTTTAACTAAGTGAACACTATTAGAAGTTGGGACGTAGTAATTGTCAGGAGAGTCAGGGGTAAGACCATGTCAAACATTCGGTGAAACATTTTATTCAATATAACACCCCCATGCGCATCAGTCATCACACAAATTTAGTGTGATATTTCGTCCGTATCAATTAATTATATTATCCGTTCGTATCAATTTAGTATGAATTTATTTGAAGAACAGTCATTGCATATAAAAATATATGTAAATTAGTGAAATTGTTAGTGATAGGTAGAAATTGTCCTTTCGTTCTGCATGTTGAAATAAATCATCTGACAACAAAGTTTGCACTTTCTTTGTATCGATTCATATCAGGTTTTGTTTTCACTCATAGCAATCATGTCAGTATATACCGAAGCATTTGTTACTGGGTAATAGGGCTACTCCTAGAGCTAGACTTTATTTTGATTGATTTTTATCATCATGGTGTATATATAATATTGGGGGACTGGTGATCTCCAGTGATATTTAAATCGGTACCAACCAATGCTGCCGTCACAGATTTTTTTCATCAAACTATTTTTTAGTAAATGATGACCTGTAGATCCGAAATGTACGAAATAATGTATAATTTAGTATTAACTCACATCATGTTATCTAGTGTCTAGTACTGATCAGACTCGATCGATCAACCTGTAATGTGATCACACACTGACTAACTAATAATTTTGTGGAGTGACGTTCTATCACCTACATTCAACCACAAATCGGAATAAATGAAAAGGTGGAAAGCTGAGGGAAGAAGACTTTGATTATACTGTGATTCATCAGGTCATAAGTTAGAAAATATTGACAAATATTTCATTTTCAAATGATATTTTAATCTGTAAATTGATCAGACAATTTATTTGAAACGTTTAATTATTGTTAGTTAGTTGAGCAGGACAAATAAATTTCGCAACGTTATATGTTCTTCCTTTAGCGTTTCTTTTACGTTACACCATAAATTCATCTGGCATTTTAAGTTTAAACCATATCTGTTAAGTGATTTCCAAGTCAGTCTTGAGTGCTGTTAGATGTATGAAGGCGGTTATCACTGTGTAAAGGTTCTTCTGGAGATACCTGAAGAGAAAAATCGGGTTAGGAGTGATCCTAGTGACCTGAGAGCGTGACCGCAATGCCCAGGGAACAACTGCTTAGTGCCGGCCACACACGACCTTTTTGTGATTAGTTTTGGTGTTAGCTCCGTCGTTTTTGGAATCTTACCGCTGGAGATGGAAATCCGTGGGATAAGACGAGGTGTTCACTTTTAGGTTCGACCCTTTCTAACCCCAACCTTTCTTGTGTGAAGGCAACATCGCTGTTATGCTGGTTGTCTAAAGGAAACACCTTACTGCCGTCACACCTCTGTACAGTCGGCAGTACGACTTCGCCCTCGAACCTTGGGTTTGCTGTTTCTAGTCTTACCACTCTTCAACCAACCTGTCTGGCATTGTAGGACCTTGAAGAACGATTGTTCCAACCAGTGAAGCTCAATTGGTTTATTACGATAAGCAACACCGATCATCACGTCAAAGTAGCAACGACGGTCGGGATTTCCAAGTGAATTTGAGATTTCTTCCGGCTAATGCTTCTAATTAAAACTAAATATTCATTGATAATATAATCACATAGTTTTTATTTACTTTTTTTCACCTCCTACTCTTCTCTTATTTTATTTTTGTTGTAAAAATTATACAAAATAACAAATAATTATGATAGAAAGATGAAAAAATTGAACTTTATCAATATGAAATTAAACAGTTAACTGAAGATTTAAATAAACAAAAAACTATATTCAGTGAACAAGTGACACTTCAAACATTTGAAGCATCTAAATCAATAGAGAAATTAACTAAAACATTAGAATTAGAACGTAAACGAATGATACGTATATCTAGTTTAGCAAATAGAATTTTACAACAAAGAAATGAAATTGAAGAATTCTTTATTACATCATTAAATTATGTTCGTGATGAGATCAAAGTGAATCAGTAAGTTTCACTTTTTCTTTAAAATAAGACTTGTGTTTTTGGAATTACTTTCTGATTTAGTTCTTTCATTACTATCTTGAAAATATAATGTACTATATAAATATGAGGTGGGATTATAATTAATGAACGAACCATTATGATTTAAGATTTTTATTATTTTTATTTTAACACAGATATTGGTACAAGGAGGCACCAAATACATATGCGCCACACAAATCTCATTCGATATGTGTGAGGGCTGTGATACTGCCCGGGTGCCCAGGCCGAAGCAGGTGGTTTTCATAGGGGGCCACACACGGAGCCTTCGACCTGAAGGTCTGATCCACAAGGCAGTGGAGCATCGTAAGGAGATGCAGTCACATGGTAGCCGGTGACCAACAATTGGTTCATACACCATTTGTTCCCTCAGGATACTGGAGCCCATGTGCACCATTGATTTGGAATCCGGTTAAAGCACCGGACATCCGCCTTTCGTCCTCTCATTTTCGTAAACAACAGTAATGCCACGGACTTCCCTGGCAGAGGCTATATACGCGTGGCCATGTGAGAGCATTTGGAGAGAGAGAGCGGATCCTACCCACTCTCAGCCGTACCAGGGTATTTGGAGGCATGATTTAAGATAGGAAGTCATTGACTTTGGTGCAAAATCCATCCATGACTAAGTACCATTTTGGTATTAAAGTGGAAGTTGATTTGTGATGAAAACCCTAACTGTAACTTATAATCCTAATTCCTTACACTAATTTATAACTCCTTTTTTGACCATAGTAAGTAGTTGAATGGTTTCGAGGTCACTTTGACATTGTTCAAAGGTCGTCCATAAATTCTAGTTCAACAAATGTGATTGCTTTACAGACGTAATTTTTTTTTGTTAAAGTAAGGATTTTTCATTAGCGATTGCGTATTATTTCGACAAATTTCCGCGTCAAATGCATTCGAATTGTAATTATTTAAAAAAAATTGTATTTAATAAGAGTTCTTAACAGTTAATAGCTCGTACATATCTTCGATCACGAGAGGTTATGTATCAGTTTAACTGCTGCCACTAAGTTTTTATCTATCATATATAGAATTAGAAGGGGTTTTGTGGAGATTGTAGTTATTTCAATAGTTGAGATCTTGAGTCAGTTGAAGCTAGACTACCATAGAAAACCTGGAAGCACTGAACGGCCATTTCATCCTATTTCGGGACTCCTCAGCAGTGGATATATAGGATTCACGAATCCTAGTGTATTACTCTCTTGTTTTTTTCTCAAAGGATAAGCAAGAAGATAAACACGATAAGAACTCCATTTATAATACTAGTTGGGTATCTGGAAGATAAATGGACAAGACATTTGAACAGGCCTCTAAATCATTTGATGTCATTTAGTAGTAATTTGATAAAATTACTTTGGAATGTTTCTGGTTCCAGTCTACGTTGCGAGACCGAACGTCCTGGGTTCAAGTTCAGTGTGCAAAATCTTGGATGTGCATTGCTAGAGAGTCCCATACTAGAAAGAAGAGGTAGCCAGTGATTCAAGGTTTTCGATGGTGGTCTAGCTTAGATCGACTCGTGAATTCAACTGTGAAAATACTACAATCTACGTAAGTTACCTTAATTTGAATAGTCAAATAACAACAAAATAATGTAAATCTTATGAAATTATTTAATTCGCTAATGAAATTTTGTTATCATCGGGATTAGTCAGTAATATTTTTATGAATGTAACAAGAATTCTGTCAATACATACATGGAGAATGATACAGAATGCTTAAGTTAACTGCGTGTAGAAAATTAGCAGTTGCATATTTACTATTTATTGTGGTGGTTATAGGTAGTCAACACGAAACCATGAAGCTAGGTTTTTAACTATTTTGCACTCATCAGCAAAGTTTATCTGTAATCTTAAGGCAGCTGATGCTCTCTGGAGTGTTCGGTCTCATGTCACAGTGATAAACATTAAAACTAAGGTATTCCGTAACTCAACTAATTTCCTGTCAGACTAAAACGTATTTACATTTGATTGATCACTGAGTAGTGACCATTGTCTAGATGACATAACAATCCCCCAAAGACTATAGATACACCATACTGACGAGTGTCAAATTTATTTATTTATTTTAACACATAGATATTGATGCAAGAAGGCACCAAATAGATATGCGCCACATAGATCATTCGATTTGTGTGAGGGCTGGGATACTGCCCGGGTGCCCAGACCAAAGCAGGTGGTTTTCATAGGGGGCCACTCCCTGGGCCTTCGACCTGAAGGTCTGATCCGCAAGGCGGTGGAGCATCGTAAGGAGATGCAGTCCATGGTAGCCGGTGACCAACAATTGGTTCATACACCATTTGTTCCCTCAGGATACTGGAGCCCATGTGCACCATTGATTTGGAATCCGGTTAAAGCACCGGACATTCGCTTTTCGTCCTCTCAATTTCGTAAACAACAACCCCGCCACGAGAAGGCAGTGAGTAGGACTTCCCTGGCAGAGGCTATATACGCGTGGCCATGTGAGAGCATTTGGAGAGGGAGAGCGGATTCTCCCCACTCTCGGCCGCACCAGGGCATTTGGGGGCACGAATGTCAAGTACCACGAAACATAGATCTAGGGTTTCCTACTAACTACCACCAACCACCTCCCTACATCATAAGATTTCGGACACAATCTCAAGTCAGTTAGACTAGTGACCGCATCGCAATTTGGTCTATATAATTAAGTCTTCTCAAAGAAGAACCTGACAAGCATGACACGATAATCTTAGGGCAAAAAAATTAAAGACATTTTACGGGCTTACTTGTTATAGATGATGTGTTCATATCTTTGATTAAGCTTATTGAATATCCAATAGAACGAAGTTTTGGTTTCATTAATACATAATCATTATCATCACCATCATTATCACATGTTACAGTCTTAGATGATTCTAATACTACTTAGGTAAAACGGGATAGTTTAAAAAAAATCAGTTGGAGTGTAGAGTAAATTGTTTGAAGATGATTCCAGAATTCTAAATAAGTATTTTAGAATTTACCTACTATGATATGTTAATGAAAATGCCCTCGAATGAGCCTGTAGAGGGTTGATCATATGTCATTCAAATTTTCTGACAGACAAGATAATATTCAGTCATCGAGTTGTTATCCACTGATTGACAATGTCCAAATTTGTGATGTATTATATATGCGTCAATCAGTATTATTGCCTGTCATTTATATCACTATTCATATACTTCTCAGGATCCAAGCTATGACCAGTTTGTGATTTAGACCAGTGAGAATTCTACAGTCTCGGCGAATCCCCTTATGCTCACTAATGACTAGCCTCAAGATATAACTCCTGGAGTTCAACCATGTCATATGTGAAGCAGACATCTACCGCAGGGAATAAATGACTGCAACGCAATGTCGTGAACTATTGAAGTTAGAGGTCATTACCTCTAAATGTCAGTTCATTGATCTAGAGGTTTAGTTCTTGTGCGTGTGATATATGTTCTTGGGTTTGATTCCCAGTTGTGGAGTTGTGTATGCACACTCCTAAAGAGTTCCAAACTAGGACGAAACAGTCATTCAGTGATCTAAGATCATTTCGTAATTTAAACTATGGAAATATTTATTTTTTTTAAATGACAAACGATTTTAACTATCATTTTCAATCTTTCAATTTTGTTTAGGGGATAATTTATTTATTATGGATGGAAAAGTTTGTTTAACCACTAATATGTGTGTACATGTGTAACTTGTTATTTTTTTTCTCTTATAATCAATGTTGTTTATTTTCTTCGTGACCACTTGTATGATTATCAGTGATACCTTTTTAATTGTATACACTACTAATATCATTCTATGTCATATCCCTGTATGAAGCACTTGCAATATTACACTATTGAACTATTTTTTATAAACTGCTTTTATAGTTTCTAGTCTACAATCATGACTATTTATCAAATCTATTTTATTTATTAGCTATAGAGTAAGTGATTTAACACTGTTACGTGTTTTATTTTAATCGTTATGCATGTTAAGAATAAATCAATGTAAATCTTCTTTAGTGAAATTCATGTCACTCGTTTTCAATTCTTTTAATCAATCGATTACACCATTGTATTTTGACTTGGTGGAACCGGTTTGTATGTGGTAATTTTATGAAAACTGTTCAGTTTTGCATCATAGGCTGACTTTAGCTAAGGAATCATTGAAAGGTAAGGTAGACTGAACATCTATTTCGTCCTGATGCCGAACTCCTTAGAAGTGCGAACCCAATATGACACCTGGTTACTGTGTCATGGAAATTCAGACCGCGAGACAAGTGGGTTAACTTTAACCTATTGGATTAACATCCTTACTTACTTACTTACGCCTGTTACTCTTTGTGAAGGAGAATAGGCCGCTCACCAGCATTCTCCATCCAACCCTGCCCTGGGCAATACTTTCCAGCTCCGTCCAGTTGTTGTTCATCTTTTTCATATCTGCTTCTATTATCGGACGCATTGTGTTCTTTGGTCTTCCTCTTTCCCGCTTCCCTTCAGTATTCCAAGTTAGGGCTTGCCTCGTGATGCAGTTTGACGATTTGCGTAATGTATGTTCTATCCATTTCCATCGTCTTTTCCTAATTTCCTCTTCAGCTGGAAGTTGGTTTGTTCTCTCCCACAGAAGGCTATTGCTGATGGTATCCGGCCAGTGGATGTTGAGTATCTTGCGTAGGCAGCTATTTATAAATACTTGTACTTTCTTGATTGTGGTTGTTGTAGTTCTCCAAGTTTCAGCTCCATACAGTAGAACTGCCTTGACGTTCGTATTGAAGATTCTCACTTTGATATTCGTATTAAGTTGTTTGGAGTTCCATATATTGTAGGATCAACATCCAGTAACTCATATTTCCAACATCAACCAATCTATGTTATAACATGATGTCATCTCTATTCACCGGTTATAGCTATTCCATGAACGACATCGTTTGGATTCACGGCTCTTAGCTTCTCACGAGAGCTTCAAAAATGCTTATCAAAGTTAGTCTCTTATGATACTTCATTGTGTAAAGTTACATTCTTAACGTAACGATAGATGTGCAATACTGATGAATCTTATGCTAAGACGAAATACTTGTTTATTACTTTCTGATTTTCAATAGTTGTAATTGTATTTAAAATATAAAATTGTTAGAACTGATATAAGTAATTTACTTGACATTCATTTATGTGTTTTCATTACTTTCTTCTTGTCTAGAAATAATTATATTCATGATGCCAAATCTGCCTATGAAGCGAGTATACGATTAGCACATTTAGGTAAATCAAATTATCCACCTATTAGAACATTTCAAAATAAGATAACTAGTACAAATAATGTATATGATGATTTTAAAATTGCTCAAAAAATGTAAGTAAATGTATATTGTTAAACAATTTGTTGTATCTTTCTTTGACATATATAGACAATTGAGTTGATCTAAGTAAATGGTTCATTGAAGAATACACTTTTACATTTAAGTTCGATGGTGTCTAGCAATCAAATCTAGGAAATACATCAATCTCATTTGATATTCGTCAGCTGGATACATCTGAATTCTAGTGTTGATATTCATAGTTAAATTTATATACATCATCTATCACGTCAATCGTCAACAGATCACTCGGCGAGTCATTGAAGTCAGACAACTACTATCTTGCACAATATTCACAAAATTTATGTATATATATATCAATTAGTAGGTAACGGTAGAAGTACACCATACTGATCTTCACTGAAACAATCACAGTTCAAGTACCACGTCGTTTATCTATGCGAGAAATTTAAAATGAAATGTTAAATAGCTTATAAGCTGTTAGTATATTAACTAAATGGAAATTGACAATGTTTGGTTTCGAAAATGCTTGAAATTGAAAAAGAATGTCTACTATGCAACTAAACAGTGAATTAACATTCACATGATGCTGAAGTTAAATCAAAAGAAATAAATATCTGTTCCTAATGCAAATCATACATTGAAGTACTGAATGTAATTTAATGCGTAGTCAAGAATACTTTCGTGATTGCAACAACATCCTCCCAATGTAACTCCTGACTCTAAATCTCAACCCTGAGTTTTTAAGTTTGTAAAGCAAAGGATGGATGGAAAACCATCATTGCATAATAATTGATGAATGTTGGTGACTAAACCAAACTCACAACACTATTCCAACTCCTAATATATAAATTTAACCTTCTTCCTGTATCATAATAAATAATTTAACACTTAAGAGATAAATATTCATACCAAAAGTACTATTCCCTTGTGATTTTATTGGTCATATTGTCAAATATTTCATAATTAGGTAGAGTTTCCTTATTGACTCATAAGTCGCTGAAGGTCGTCAGTCTGATATACGTTTACCTAAGCGAATCTTATATTATGACATTCACTTATTAAACTTCACTCTGATTAATTACCGATTAGTATCCAATATCATATTTGTTTGATCATTACCATTCTATTAATCCAATTGATACTAGTATAAATAACATTTGGTGAATTATACTAAGATATTAGGTAGTTAAAAGAAAACATGAAGAAGCTATATTTGCTCATAATTTCTTGATAGCTAATGCTTATCTCTCCAATATATCATTGTTTTTCTTGGAACTGATATTCTCTGTAAGATTTACTGTAATCAAAGAAGTGACCACACTTTACTGACAAATACCAGGAAAAATTCTAGATCACTAATTTCTAGTCAAAAAGTTTTAATCATTTAACAGATCAACTAAATTTATTACTTCACTTTATTCATTAATAATATTGATTAAGTGCTCGCGCGCGAGACTGATATGTCCTGGGTTCAAATCCCACGAGGCGGGGTTGTGAATGAGCACTACTGAGGAGGCCGACAATAGAACGAAACGGTTACCCAGTGCTTCCATGTTTTCCATGGTTGTCTAGCTTCAATTGACTCATGATCTCAACTATTGAAATTACTACAATCTCCACAAAACCCCTTCTGATACTAATGAACATATGCTCACTAGTGACTGGTTTCAAGAGGTATATACTGGAATTCTAGTGAGAAGCAGTAACCAGTAGAGTTCAATCAGGTCTGTTGTGAATTAGTAACTCACTGAAGACAATGATGGATGTGTTGCTCAATTTCGCGAATCAGTTGAAGTTAGACATTAACACCGTTGGATGCCGGCCGACCCAGTAGTCTAGTGGTTAAGTGCTCGCGCGCGAGACTGATAGATCCTGGGTTCATATCTCGCTAGGAGCAGTCATGGATGTGCACTGCTGAAGAGTCCCACAATAGGACAAAACGTCCATCCAGTGCTTCCATGTTTTCCATGGTTGTCTAGCTTCAATTAACTCATGATCTCGACTATTGATATTATTCACCTGATATTATTTTACTTGAATCTTCGCATTGATGTTTTAGGACTGAAATTGATCAGTCTCTTATTGGCATATGTGCATACTGCGCGTATGCCTCGATATTGCCTTAATTTACAAGCATTATAGGCAAAGATGGATAGTGGCTAGCAGTGGAATCCAGGACGCGCGTTTCGTCCTGTTTGGGACTCGTCAGCTGGATGTACCTGCATCTCAGAGTTGATGTTCACTCTGGGACTCAAACTCAGTACCTTTCGCTTCAAACGCCATCGCGTTATCCACTTAGCTACTGAGTTCTGATAGCCACTTGCTTGTGCAATGGGGTGAAGTTTAATTCACTTGATATTATTTTACTTGAATCTTCCCACTGATGTTTTAGGACTGAAATTGATCAGGACGAAACGCGCTTCCTGGATTCCACTGCTGGCCACTATCCGTCTTTGCTTATTGATATTATTATTATTATTATTACAAATATTATGATTATTATTGCATAATCATTTTAGTCCGAAATCAACACATTTAACAATTCGTGATTTAACATGGGAACAAAAGGAACGTGTCCTTTCTATTTTATTTGAAAAAATGAATCATTCCAAAATGAAATCTAATCATAAAACTAATTATAATAAAACACCAATGAATCATTTAAATAATCAATTTAATAAAGAATTAATAATACAAATGAATAATTGTAACAATGGAACTAATCAACAGGTTGAATTGAATGAAATCGATTCCAAGTCAATTCTATTGACAATCGATAATGATGATGATGATGATGCTGATGCTGCTGATGATGAACATGATCAAGGTAAAATAAAAGATCAAGTTAATAATAAAGTAAAAGAGAATGATCAAAATCAATCTAAAGAATTAACAAGAAAACTTTATGAAAAAGTCATTCAATACAAAGATCATGTAATCGATGAAACGAATTCAGTTAAACAATCAGATCTCCAATATACATCAGGCAATGATTATGAAACTATTCAAAGAAATATTAATTCTACAATGAATTGTCAAATAAATCAAACTAAAGTACCATATCCATCACCTCAATAGAATAAAAGAGAATATGTATTGGTTAATGATAATGTGAGAAAGTCATCTTTAGTGATTTAAAGAAAAGACAATTCAATATTATGTACTATTTCGACAGATTACATTCATACAAAATGATATTCGTTTTTTTTTCTTTTTTATAGGAGTTTTGTTCTTTGAGCTGGATGATTTGGTTGTAGAGCTTTCATCATTCTGCTGAACGACATCATCAGCATAAATTTCAGGTAGAAGTAAATTTGTAAATATTTTGATAAAAGAAGAAGGTTAAATTTATATTATGAGGAGTTGAGCTAGTGTTGTGAGTTTGGTTTATAACCCTATAGGGCTTTAGTCACCAACATCCAATAATTATAATGTAACGATGATTTCCCATCCATCCTTTGCTTTACAAACTTAAAGACTGAGGATTGAGATTTAGAGTCAGGAGTTACATCGAGATGTTGTTGCAATTACGAAGGCATCGTTGACTACGCATCAAATTACATTAAGAACTTCAATATATGATCTGCATTAGTAACAGATATTTATTTCTTTTGATTTAACCTCAGCATCATGTGAATGTTAATTCACTGTTTAGTTGCATAGTAGACATTCTTTTTCGATTTCAAGCATTTCGAAACGAAACATTGTCAATTTCCATTTAGTTAATATACTAACAGCTTATAAGCTATTTAACATTTCATTTTAAATTTCTCGCATAGATAAACGACGTGGTACTTGAACTGTGATTGTTTCAGTGAAGATCAGTATGGTGTACTTCTACCGTTACCTACTAATTGATATATATATATACATAAACTTTGTGAATATTGTGCAAGTTAGTAGTTGTCTGACTTCAATGACTCGCCGAGTGATCTGTTGGCGATTGAAGTGATAGATGATGTATGTAAATTTGACTATGGATATCAACACTAGAATTTAAATACATCCAGCTGACGAATACCAAATAAGATTGATGTATTTCCTAGATTTGATTGCTAGACACCATCGAACTTAAATTAAAAGTTTATTCATCATTAAGTTTGCCGTTTATTAAGGGAAGTTACTATTACCTGAAGTTTGTGCTGATGATGTTGTTCAGAAGAACGATGAAAGCTCTACAACCTAATAATTCAGCTTAGAGACTAAAACTCCACATCAAAATCATTCACCTGAGGTACAAGTCCTCTCCACCATCACCAATTGATATTTATTTCATCTGTCTATACTGAATTATACTAGAGGAATTAATAGGAAAATGTTTTGATTTTTTCAAATAATATTCTTAAAAATTGTTAGTGTTGATTACTTTATGCTTTAGCACAATTTACTACTGTGAAATACTACTGAACTAAATGTGAATTGGTTGACAAATACAATTTATAACATAATAGATAAATAAATTACAATAGGGGTTTGTGGAAATTGTAATGACTTTAATAGTTGAATTTATGAGTCGAGTTCCGCTGGCGGGATCGTTAATTTATACAATGGAGGAGTCCCATACAAAGGCGAAACGTCCGTCCAGTGATTTTTTATGGTTGTTTAGCTAACATTGACTGATGAATTCAATTATTAAGATAAATAAATGTTTTGACATAAGTCTATTATTTATAGGTTGTATTTTCTGTAATCTGAACTCATCTAGGATATCATTAAAATTTCAGGTATAGTAGATGATTTTATTTTAGTACAGAACTCCTTGATAGTGCGTACTTATCACTGTCAGGAATCGAACACAGGATTTGGAGGACTTGCATCGAATGCTTAACCATCAGATACATTGAGTAATGGTTTAATAAGTTGGTTTCAGATTCAACTAGTTTGTGATATAGCTTAGGGATAATGCGATGTTATTAGTGACAGTCGTTTCACTCCTGACTCTGATGAACTCCATCGGTTACAACTTACCACTGAAATTTCAGGAACATCTTAGAGTAATTCGCTAATTATCTAACTGCTATAGTTTAACTGTAGGCGGTTTTTGAAGAAAATGGTTCTGTTCTTAGATTTCATTTGTTACAAATTGATACCTGGCTTATTCGTGGATGAAGAGTATTGAGAAGTTGAACACTAGGACGTGAACATCTATTTAGTTCTCTCTGGTTTACAATAGTATTCCAACTAGAATCAATCTACAACTATTACAATCTACTTTTTAAACCAATCTTAGCAAAATCTCTTTAACTAAATTATAAGTCACTGTATCGATAATTTATTTTTTGAACCTGATAAATAATTGCAAGCATTACTGGTATGTTGGTCGGCGTCCAAAATCTGTTACGGATACACGCTGTGCTACTCGTAAACCTCCCAACTGACTAATCGAGCGGGGACATAAGAGTGAACGAATAAAATGTACAGATACTCATTCACATATTTACACCACTCCAGTTATTGGAAATGGACTCATCTCCTAGCAAATGAAATGGACTTGTCCTTTAGGTCACTTCTGATTAACTCCCCATATCAACTGTAACCCCTATCCTTATTAAAATTCATCATATTAACTGGATTAAATGATATATATGACCAATTCATACTTTGGTTTCAGTTTTTAAATAGTGTGCAAGTAGAATTCATTTGGTATTGTTTGATTGAATCTTCCTATTGATATTTAGGACTGAAATTTTTCAGTCCCAAATAAGACAAAACTCACATCGTGGATTTCACTACTAGCCACTATCCGTCTTTGCTTATAATGTTTAAGTTGTTTGATTATCTCTTTTTGCATTCTTGAAGTTATTGGGAGACATTTAATTATTTTTCTGCTATTGTTTATATTTCATCTAAATGATTTGTTGATAAGTGTGACAATTTGAATCGATGGAATAAACTTTTTTCTTCTCAAGTGTTTACTTTATTTTGACTATTCCACTTGTTGTTAGTTGCGGTGGTAATACTTTTCCACAATTGAATAGTTTTATCATAAAGCGTGAGTGATTTCTTTCTCCATCACATAATCGATACAAACTTTTGAGAAGTGCAGAGAACAAAATACCAAGATTGAATTTGATAGTATCGAATAAATTAAGCATTGGGTAGAAAGTTGTTAATAATTGTGAGGATGGTCCACGGCGTTTCTCATTTGTCTTCCATCTTCTCATTTGCGACTTGGGAGGGTTCTAGTGTTCGAGTCCTCAAGTTATACACGGCATACCAAGAATATAAGCTCTAGATATAACAAGAATATTATTTCACTGGTCGAAATCATGAGTCAATTGAAGCTAGACCACCATGGAAAACCTGAAAGCACTGGACGGCCGTTCCGTCTAGTATGGGACTCCTCAGCAGTGCACATCCACGATCCCGCGCCCCGCTTCAATTGACTCATGATTTCAATCAGTGAAATTTCTAAAAAATCTCCACAAAACCCCTTCTGATAATAATCATCTGCTCACTAGTGACTGACTTCAAGAGATACTCCTGCAGTTCTAGTGAGAAGCTGTTACCAGTGGAGTTCAACCAGGTCTGTTGTGAGATATCAACTCACTAAAGACAATGGTGTACGGTGGCGCAACTTCGTGAATTGGTTGAAGTTAGACATTAACACCTTTGGATGCCGGCTCAGTGGTCTAGTTGGTTAAGCGCCTGGCGCGAGACCGACAGGTCCTGGGTTCGAGTCTCGCGGGGGGCGGGATCGTGGATGCGCGCTGCTGATGAGTCCCATACTAAGACGAAACGGCCGTCCAGTGCTCCGGGTTTTCCGTGGTGGTCGAGCTCAATCGACTCATGATTTCAATCAGTGAAATTTCTAAAATCTCCACAAAACCGCTTCTGATAATAATATTATTATGATAATGATGAAATAATAATTATTTCTTTTATGAGTTCCCAATAAGTAGATATACGTAAATCTGACGTTTCGTGACTTAATGTTCGTCACTTCTTGAGAGTAAATCAATAAATAACCAAAATAAATTATCACAGGCTTAGATTATACAAAAGAAACAAAGTAGGATATTTTTAATGCAACCAAAATCATAATAAGTCTGAGCACGTTAATGTAATGAGAATTTTTAGTCAAGACGATTTTCTTTTTTACGAGACATTACTTTGTTTATTGTGTCTATAACGGTGGATATAAAAAAAAATAAAATTTAATTTGTAATATGAAGGAGTAGAGGTAAGAATTGAATGTGTGTGTTTGTGTTTAGGTTATACAGAAAATAAATAGACTGAAGGTCCTGGGTTCGAGTCCTATGTTAGGGATCATGGATATGCATTGTTAAGAAGTTCCATGCTAAAACGAAACGGATATCCAGTGCTTCTAGGTTTTCAACAGTGATCTAAGTTAGATCAGTTCATGATCTCAATAAAAATGAATGGAATTAAATAAGGATATTTGGAAAAACAATCTAGGTTTGATGAATAGTAAGATGTTTGGGGAGTATACCTAGTTATAATTACCCACACTGGATTAACAAGAAACTTAATTATTTGTCACCAATAATTTGACTGTTAATGTTCATATCGGATTTCTAACCTTTATTCGGTTATCATTTTTCGTACTACTTAACTGACTAGTTTTATTTTAATGTATACTTATAGATTGGTGATTTATTTGAATGCTAAGCCACTAAATAACTTCTGTTTCTTGTTGTTTCACCTATCTATTCACGACTGAACTGATCAATCTAGTACTTATATGAGTTCCATGAAATGTTATCTTGTTACTATCTAGATACAAAGGAGTTGATATACAGACAGAACCTTTTAAAGTTAATTGTTATATTCAAAGGATGGGAATTCATACCTTCACAATAAAACTATTAATATTGTATGCCAATTGAATATATGATAGAAACATTTAAAGTAATAAATACAATGGATAAATATCAGTGTAAACAATTATTTGAATATAAAAGCATTCAGCTGTTAAATCAAGTTTATCTGTGGTATGATGAAGATACGACTAATTTAAAAATAAAGTGGACATCTACAATTGTATAAGAGAATTCAGTAGCCGTATATCTGACTCTGGTTAGATGAAACAAATGATCATTGTCGAATGATTACTGTCGAAATATACATCCAGATATCCTCTTATATAAACATTGGCTTAAGTCGCGTTGGTGAATAACGGAATTAACGAAGTCAAATACGAGAATGATCTTTGAATAGTATATTTCATGCAATCGTTGATTTGAACGTAAAACAAAACAAAGTGATGTGCAATGAAGGAGGCGAATGAGCCAACTCAATTTAGCCAAGCGTGAATCGATATTATAGTCAGACCAAAAATAAGCCACAGACATTTGATGAGTAAGGTGAAAAAAAGAATACATACACTTACGGTTACATAAAAACAGTCAAGGTTAATAAGCCAATAAGTGGCAGGGTAAAAATGTGACTTAAGGATGAATAAACTGTCTATCCAAAAGCTAGAATAAGTTATTACGGCTTAACATAGTAGACGACGACACTACAAGAATACAATCTGTGATCTTTAATTTTCGTCTACAGTATTATAACATGCATAAA